CGACGACGACGACGACGACGACGATACGACGATACGACGATACGACGACGACGGCGACGACGATACGACGACGACGACGACGACGGCGACGACGACGACGACGACGACGATACGACGACGACGACGACGACGACGACGACGACGACGACGACGACGACGACGACGACGACGATACGACGACGACGACGACGACGACGACGACGACGACGACGACGACGACGACGACGACGACGACGACGACGACGACGACGACGACGACGACGACGACGACGACGACGACGACGACGACGACGACGACGACGACGACGACGACTACTACTACTACTACTACTACTACTACTACTACCACGCCGCCGCCGCCGTGGGGCAGGCCCGCAGCCCACCGCCACCGCCCCCGCCTGAGCCCCCCCTTGGGGCTCGGCGCGCGGCCAGCGACGCCGGGGCGCCCCCAACTCCGAGCCGCCGTGGCGCCGAGGCGCCCGTGGCCCAGCTGGGTGAGCTCCACCCCCTGGCCGCCGAGCAAGGCGAAGGGTGCGTCGCGCTGGTCGCGAGCCGTGACGACGAGCAGGTCTACTACGCCTTCGGGGCCACGCCGGTCTCCCTGCGTCGTCCGCGGCTCGGGTGGTACGGCTGGCGGTTGCCCGCCCTCAATTGGACGGTGGAGGTGCCGCGCGAGGGAGCCCCCTCACCAGCTGCCGACTGGCCGCGGAGGCCCAGGCCGCAGGGGCGCCGCTGCTCATCGTGGCCGCCGACTGCCGCAGCATGGAACGAGCCGGGCTCGGCCTCTTACAGATGCACGAAAGGCTGGGCCGCCTGGAGCACGGGCTGGTGAGCTTCCCCGACTTCGAGGAGCAGGTCGGCGACGCCGTGGCAAGCGAGTTCGAGGGCAGTCTGGGGCGTCAGCCCCACCGACGCCGATGGCCGCGGCCACGCCAGGGGGGACCCACCGCAGCCGTGGCAGCAGCCACCCGCGGACTGGCCGCCGATCCGAGGGGTCGGGACCCCAGGGCCACGACGACATGATCGACCTGCTGTGGGACCATCAGCCCGAGCCCGAGGCTCTGGACAGGCGGACGCATCCCCCGCCGAGCAGCTCCCGCACAAGCACGGCCTTTTGACGACCTGGGCGCGGCCGCCGACGCCATCGCCCATCGCGGACGCGCTGCTGCACATCGCGGGGCCGGACGGCTCGGCGCCGCCCTCGGGGAGCGCGACGCCCCCCGAGCCTGCGCCGCCCCCGTCGGCGGCGCCCGGCCAGAGCCGACCGAGGGCGCCCCGTCCGGGCACTCATCTGTGCGAGGCGCGCGGGCGCCCTCCTCGTGCACGCGGGCGCCCCGCCCGCCAAGGGCCCTCGGCGGCCGAGGAGCGGGTGCCCACGGGCACGAGGAGGCCAAGGGCCGCCCTCGTCCAGAGGGGAGGCAGGCCCTGCCCCGCGCGGCCATGGCTTCGCGCACCGCACCAGGCGGGAGAGGCCTCGCGCGCACGCGCCTTGGCGTGCGCCCCCGCCCCCCCCCCGAGAAAAGCGTGGAGAGTTGCCACGCTGCTGCACGGCAGCAGCTCGGTGCAGAACTGGGAACGAGCGTCTTCGTATAGTCGGCGGTGGACAACCCTCCCTTTCAAAAAACCTCCCCTTCGTGAAAACGGCCTGGGACAGAAACCGACGGACCTGGACCCGCAAACATGACGGCCGCGACGCCCTCTCGCGAACCGAACACGGCCAAGTCGCTAATCGACGTGTCGGGGTAGGAGGCGTTATCAACCTCGGATATAGTGGGATCCTGAAAAAAAAAGCGTGCTACAGCGCACGCCTGTGTGTGCAAGAGGCCTCTTCTCGAAAAAGGGGACGCAGGGGCCTTCCCCTCAGCCGCATCCAAAAGCTCGAGGCGCCAGGCACACGCTCGAGCCAAGCAGGGCTGCGGGGTCGGCGAGGACTTGTTGGGACGGCGCCCGGCACCCCTCCCCCCCAGCGCGCTGGGAGCTCGCCAGAGGTGCTAGCGCCCGAGACGCCACCGGGGCGGCCCCGCGCCGACCCGACGAGAGATCCGAGCCGACCTCCGAAAGTTTGTGCTGAGACCGTTTCACAGCACAGGGCAGTTTTTGATACATGGGATGGCTTTAAACACGTGATTTGTCATACATGATTAATGTATGAATGAATGTATGCATGAACTCATCGTTGTTTTTAATACCACATCCCTGCATGTGTTAATACATGATCCGCACGCGGAAAATGTATAACAAAACGGCACTGTAGGGGCTCGACCACAACAGACCTTCCACAAGAAGCACAACCCTGAGACCCCAGGACGTCGTCCATCGGTTTTTGGTGTGGGAGCGTCGCGCTCTCCACAGCAAACCCATCAAAACCCAAGGCACCCTGGAGGCAAGCAGGGTGTTTCTCGGCATGGGTTTCCACTGTGTGCTGCTCTTCGGGAGGGGTGGTGGAGCGAGCGAGGGGCGGTGCGGTCCAGGGAGGGGGCGCGCGAGAGGGGGGGATGCTGCGTGGGGGGGGGGGGGGGCTGGCTGGACGGACGAATGCTCGTTCTGGGGACCTTCCTGGAGGCACTCGTTCCGCTCGTGCGCCCACGCTGCGTCCAGCGCCCGTCGACTCGAGCCGAGACTCGACTCGAGGCTGGAATCGACTGTGGCCCACCTGACGGGTGTGTCCGATTCCAGCCTCGAGTCAAGTCTCGGCTCGAGTCGACGGGCGCTCGACGCAGCATGGGCGCACGAGCGGAACGAGTGCCTCCAGGAAGGGCCCCAGAACGAGCCTCCAACGGGGGGGAGCAGGAGCCCATCGTTTACTCTTCGCGATCACGCCCGTGACCGGCCCCGCCCCCTCCCTCCCCTGACGCCTGGTGGCGTGACGGGCCCCCTCCCCTACGCCCTGGCCTCAAGTCGGGCCTGTCCCTCTACAGGGGAAATACTCAAGAAGAGAAAAAAAAATAAAAATAAAAAAAACAGTCTGGGGACTATTGTTTGAATATCTTCGGGCATCGTTTGAGCATCTGTATCTTTTCGTCTGAAAATTTCCCCTGTAGGGGGACAGGCCCGACCTGACCCTGGCCACGCCCGCCATCGCCAGGGGAGGAACGAAAGCCATGTGGAGGCAAAAAGGGGAGCGGATGGCGGCTGGAACCGGGGGATGGGCGCAACCGTGCCCGCGAGGCGCCGCCGAGCGGCACAGCGCCACGCGAGCGAGCGCCCCACGCCCCTCTCAGGCGGCGGCCCCGTCTGCCTGGCGAGGGGCCGCGCGCGCGAGCGGGGGCGAGGCGCGCCTCCCAGCCCGAGTCTCGCCCTCTGCCTCGCCCCTTCCCTCGCCCGTGCTCCTCACCTCCCCCGTCTCTACGCCCTCCGGCCCCGCCCAGGCTTCGCGTGGGCCTCCTTCCCCCCCCCCCCACCGGCCTCCCCACCTCCCCCCTGCGGCCTCCCCCCGCCCCACACGGCCTCCTCGGTCTGCCCCCCCCCCCCCCCCCTCTCCCCAGGCTCTCCTCCATCCACTCTTCCCCTCCCCGGGGGGCGCCCAAGGCCCAGTCGGGTCAGAGCAGATGGGGTCGGAGCGTCGCGTCGCGTCGCCGATGTTGAAAAAAAGCCCTCATCCCTCGACCCAACTTTCTACGGCCTAACGTGGGCGGCTTGGACCACCTGCGCATCCGTGCACCTATCTTGCCTCGGGAGGGCTCGTCTTCCATGCATCGAAGCCCAACCGCTGGCGTCTCCCCAGACCCCCCCTCATTACGTTGGTAACTATTTTTCGCGACGTAGATTCCCCAGAGGTCCCAGCACTGCCCCCATGGGGCCAATTCATCGTCCCTGACAACGCCTAGACGGGTCCGGGGTCCGGTCAGGGCCATCCGAAGACGAAAAGTGCCAGCAAAGTTTCCGCGTTGATGTTCTTTCACGACGCGAGGGTTTTGAAGCCCGGAAGGTCTTCGCAACAGAAGCCTGAAAGGTCTTCGCAATAACGAATCAAGGCTATCAATCCCCATTCAAAAAGAACTCGAAAGCTAGATTTCGAGGGATTGCGCGGGATGAAGACGAATTGCGCCAGATCAAGCTTTGACCACGGACACACCATCGCCACTGCCGACGCATCCGCATCCCCGTATCCGCCTCCCAAGAATAGCATTCTAACGAGGGGGACCTTGGCCCGTCCTCCCGAAATCCCCTGCGCCGTGACCGTTCCTTGACCTGGGCCCCCGGTGGTCTGGACGCCCTCCCGGGGAAGGCGTCCAGACAGCTGGGTGTCCAGGCCAGCCCTGGGGCATCCCTGGGGCAGGCCTCTCCTCCTGCACAACTCGCTGCCGGCCCCGAGGGCCCCGCCCCGAGGGCCCCGCAGGGGCCCCCAGAGGCCGACAGCCTGAGGGAGCGCCTCCCGTCATGCTCTGTGCCACGGCCCGAAGGGCTTTTTGGGCCCTTCGCGCCAGGGCAAGGATTGCAAAAACGAAGGGTTTTTGTTGCAATCCTTCGTTCAACGAAGGGTTTTTTTGCAATCCTTTTTTGCAATCCTTCGTCGAAGCTTCCTCGGAAATCCCCGACACCCACGAGCCGGTGCGGGCATCTCGGCCCTCCGCTCATGATGCTCCAGCCTACTATAGCCTCGATCACCAGAAAGAATTTCGAGCGCCCACGAAAGTACCGAAACTCAAGGGTTTTCACGCGTCGGGCCTTGGGAGACGCTCGCCCGACACTGTTTCGACACTCCTTTGACACTTTTCCAGGTGCTCGAAACTAGTTCTGGGATGCGGTCCTTAAGTAGGATGGGGACCACATAATCCTCCGCGCAGGGGCCGGAGGGGGAGCTCCCTCGGCTCTCCCCGACACCCACAGGCCGGCGGGGGGCCCACCCCCAGGAAGCCTCCGAGGAAAGCCCCAGCTCAACGGGGGAAGGGCGGGGGCCCTCCTCACGCCTCACCCTGCCTTCGTCGCAGGCCGCCGCCGCCGCCGAGGACCGCCGGCTGGGGCGCAGACCCTGCTGGACAAGGGCAGGGGGGGAGAGAGAGGCGGCGCGGCCGCCTGGGAAACGAGAATTGGCAAACCTTCTCAGAAGGTGGACGGGGCTTCTCAGAAGGCGGCGGGGCCGTGGGGCTTGGCACAAGGCGGCGGGGGCCTGCTGAGAGGCTGTGTGTGTTTCCGTGGAAACCAAAGACAAATAATTGCTCAGAGGGCCCGACGCCTGCCGAGCCTTCTTAGAAAGCCCGCACATTCTTACTTCCACCGAGCCGCCGCCGTTGTCGCGTCGTGCTGGTCATCGTCGTCGTCGGCGTCGTCGGCGCCGTCGCCGTTGCCGTCGTCGTCGTCATGGTCGTCGTCGTCGTCGTCGTCGTCGTCGTCGTCGTCGTCGTCGTCGTCGTCGTCGTGTCGTCGTCGTCGTCGTCGTCGTCGTCGTCGTCGTCGTCGTCGTCGTCGTCGTCGTCGTCGTCGTCGTCGTCGTCGTCGTCGTCGTCGTCGTCGTCTGTCGTCGTCATCATCATCGTCGTCGTCTAGCGACGTCAGCGTCGTCGTCGTCTAGCGTCGTCAGCGTCGTCATCGTCGTCGTCCTCGTCCTTGTCCTCGTCCTCCTCGTCTTGCTCGCCGCGCTCGCCGCCGGGGGGAGAGGGGCACCTTCTTCACAGGGGGCGCATCGGCGGCCGCCGCCGCGGCGGCTGCCTCGGCGCCCGCGGTCACTGCCTGGGGCGGGGGGGGGGCGGCGGGACGCGGGCACAGGGAGGCGGGGCGGTGCGGTGGAGCAAGGTGGAGAGGGGGGGCAGGGCGGAGGGGGGGAGCAGCAGCACGGCACCAGCTTCCCCATGCAACCCTCTCTCCGTCGCACTCGCCCCCCCCCTCTCCCCCCCTCGTTCTCCTCGTGCGTGTCCTCCTCCTCCTCCTTTTCCTCGTCCTCCTCCTCCTCCTCCTTTTTGAAGTAGACCAAACATGGAGAACGAACTTGTTGCGTCGTCCTCTTCCTCTTCCTCCTCCTCCTCCTCCTCCTCCTCCTCCTCCTCCTCCTCCTCCTCCTCCTCTGTTTGCGCATTCTCCGCATATGCCTCCGTCTCGTGATCCCGCTGCATGCACGCATCCTCCTGCATTTCATCCTACACTCCCTCGTGCACATCCTCGTCCTCTTCCTCGTCCTACTCCCCCAGCATGTTTTAAAATTGTTGGCCAGCGTGCACATCCAGCATTGTGTTTCTAACACCGCACGCTGCGCAAAAACATTGGGGAAACATGTGTTAATTCAGCGGTTCGCGCAATCACCCCACCTGCACACCCGCAACTGGGCTTGCAAAAGCCAAGCGGTGGCGATCGCGACTGATGTTTGGGTGCTGATTACTGCACCAGCGCGGCTGCGCAAACCCGCGCACGTTCTTGCGCACAGCGGCCAACTAGTTTGGCGCGACCCACGCGGCCGCGGTGGCGCTGACCTCTGGGCGCTCCCCAGCGAAAAATTCAGTGCGAATCGGTTACGTGGGCGAGCGCGATACCATGGCGACGTCGACAACGGTAGACACGATGATGATTGCGATGATGATGATAATGATAGTAGCGATGGTGGTGACGATGATGACGGCAGGGCTGATGATAGCGCCGGTGCTGGTCACGCCGATGATGATGATGATGATGACAGTGTCCTCGCATCGGTGATGAAGGTTCTGGACAAAGTTCGACATGCGCGCGCGGCCGACGCGCGCAAGTAACCCACATGGTAGTATTCAACACAAATCGTGCCACCCACCCACCCCCCCACCGCGCGCGCAAGGGCGCTCGAATGTTTCGACACGCGCGCGAAAGGCACATTTGGTAGGATTTGGTGAACATGTAGGGAGAAACAGCACTGTTTTTTCACAATCCGCAGGGGCGCGATCGCATGCGTGATTGAAAATTATTGCTGCGAAGCTCTTTGTTTTTAAATGTAAAGACGATGGAGAATGTTTTACGTAATCTAACAAGTTTGAATGATTCCGCCATGCGCGCGCGCCGACGCGCGCGTGGGGACTGGCCCACATTGGCTGCAAGGGATTCGGCGCAACTGCAGAGTTTAGATAAGTGGGCGCGCGAACATTATGTATGTGGCAGAAGATGGCGGGGATGCCCATACCTGCATCGATGGGATGATACGAACCCAGTTTCAGATTGGACGATGACGCAGAATCGTTTTTCAATTGCAATGCAACATGGCGGCCGGTGAACCCCGCCCTCGGTGGGGTGGGGCGCTCGATCCGATTTCACGTTTGGAAAGGTTGTGCGATCGAGGTTTTGCAACCTACCTTGCGCACTACATGCGGCGCGATTTATGCGACGCAAACAATGTGGAGCAAGATGTGTGGAGCAGTCCATGTGGAACAACATATGCGGCGCAATGTACGCGGTGCAGTCTGCGCCACCTACGACGTGCAAACATTGACGCGCAATCAACGTGGTGCATGCTATGCGGCTGCGCAATCGACGTGGGGAAATTAATTTGGCGCAACACGCGGTGAAATGCATGTTGCGCAAGCCGCGACGGGCAGCGACGAGGCGGCGACGGCGACAACCTCGCCGCGACATCGGCCCCCGGGCCCAGACGACGGGCGGCGACGCGGCGGCGACGGCGGTCACATAGCTGCCAGGGCAACACACAGGCCCAAACGACGGGCGGCAACGAGGCGGCGACGACGCGGCGACGGCGGCCACTTAGCCGCCAAACCAACACACAAGCCTTATTCCTCAGACCATGCCCAGATATGATGAAATCCCACCCCCAGACGCGTCGGCAGGACGGGCCGGGCGTTTGACCTGATACTTTTTCACAACGCATGATTCTGAAGCTTGACGTAGTAGCCATCGCGAACCCCAAACAGTGTTCTAACATGCAACGCAGTGCATTCTATATGGCGCAATTCACCCCGCCGAACTTGCAGTTGTCAGCTCCACCTCTCGCTCACCCCCCCTCACCCGCCCGCAACTCCGTTTGCAAAAGCCAAACGGCGATTGCGATGACTGCTGGGCGCTGGCTGGCGCATCGCTGCGGCCGCAATGGCGCGCGCAAGCGCGCGCGCAGTGCGGCCGGCCACTTTGGCGCGACTGGCGCGGCCGCGATGGCGCTAACCACCTGGGGCTTCCCAGCGCGTCTCGCAGGCCGCGCTGGCGCGCGGACGCTTCAGAGCGAGTCGGTTGTTCGGGCGGATGGGGTACCATGGAGAAACCGACAACGGCGCACGTAGATCTTGTTTTGTTGACGATGATGATGCCAGGTGGGGTCGCCGCGGTCATAACATTATTTATAAAAAAGCTGACGGTGGCGATGGCAGGCGCGACGCCTCGGCCCCGAGAGCGGCAGCGTGCAATCGCAGACAGCACAGACGCGTGAAACCGATTAAACCCCAAGAGCTAGAGCACAAACGGTTGCGGTCGCGCGGCCAAAATCACCCTTCCCCAGCACATTCCACACGAACGTTGTTGATATGCCAGGTGGGGCCGCCGCAGCCATCACACTCTTTTCAGAAAAAGCCGACGGTGGCGACGGCAGGCACGATGCCTCGGCTCCGAGAGTGGCAGCGTAACGCTCTGGACATATTTAAATCCTCCATTGCCTTGATTATGGCATCCGCGACAAGTCGGGCAGCTCTGACGGGAAATCGCGCAGATTTGCGCCTGCGCGCTACGCCTCTCGCCGAGCGGCCGTCAATCTGCAAGCGAGGCCGCCCCGAACAGGGGCGCGCGCTCCCGCGCGGTTCACGCCCAAGATCAACGCTGCAAAGACAGCCGCATAACGCCGACCGCAGACGATCGGACCCAACCCAGGATACGATCGACGACAACCCGCCCCGAGAGACAGAGGCAGACCTGCCCCTGGCCTAGGACACCCCAAACCGCGACCGCGGAGCGCCTTGCAAATCAGGCCCCCGCGGGGCCCACCCACTGGCAGAACGCGGCGGCGGCGGCTGGGCGCCCGATCGCGAGCCCGCCGAAAATCTGACCTCATGCCAGGTGCGCGGGGCGCTGGCCACCGCCCGCAGCGGCGTGTGCAACGGGGGCGATCCTGTCGCGCGCCTCGCCTCGATGAGCTCTGCCAGTCGGCTGCATACCCGCTCGCCGAAGTGCGCCGCGGCTGGCGGCAGATCCGCGACGCGGTGCTGCATCCACGCACCCTTGCCGCGCCGCCTCAACGACTGATCCGGAATCCAGCGCCCCCTCTCCTTCGCCGCCGCCGCGATGGTTCGGGGCCCCGAGAGCAAGTCGCGAGAGGCCGCCCCATGGCGGAGGGCGCACAAGGACGGGGGCTCCTTCTGCAGCCCGAGCTACCGCAGCCCGCGCGCGAACTTGGCGCGCACCTTCGCAGGCCCGAAGTTCCAAGGGCTCGAGACCGCAGAGGCGCCCAGCGTCAGCGCTTGCAGCGCAGGCGACAGCTCGGGGGCGTCGACCAGCGCCGACTCGTCTGTGACTCCAGGCAGTGGCAATCGCACCTGGGACGGCACGAGCCTGCGTCAACCGCCCAGAGCTCGAGTGGCTCGAGGTAGCGGGCGCTTGCCCCCCAGCAGATGCGGCAGGTCAGGCCTGAGCACCGTCGCCATCGCCCTGCCCATCGCCGTGTCGCACCCGTCCAGCGCCAGGTCTGTCGAGGAGCTGATCGCCACCGCCTCCATCTGGCCGGCGGTGCTGAAGTCGCGCTCGCGCCGACCGGGCCACTCCAGGGAGCGCCGAGCGCGTCCCCGATGCCGATCCCTCGTCGCGTCCGTGACCGCCGACACCTCCAGGAAGCAGATCGCTCCCCCAGCTAAAAATCGCGGGCGCGGGCGCTCTAGTTCTCGCGCAGCCTGGACTGTCATCGCCAGCTGCTTCCAGGACACCTCGGAAGTCCGAGGCTTCGGGCGTCTGCGAGAAGTCCTTACCATGGAAGAAGCCACGCCGAGAGGGCCAATCGGCCACGTTCAACTCTGACGGCAGACGCCGCACATAGCAACGAATGTTGATGGCGAGTGAAAGAGCAGCCACCTTCTGCAAAAACGTCCCCGAAGGGTGGGCCCCCGCCCTCTGCCCTTCCCCGCCGCCAGAGCCAACGGTAAGTTACCGGCGAGAAACAGGCGGCGGTGATGATGAAAAAGCGTTGCGCGCCGCGTGCCGAACAGCACCCTATAAGGCGTCACCCCCGCGTGCTAGAGAATTGTTGATGGGGTCCTAGCGCCTTCTGGGGATGACGGTGGCCCACGACGATGCCCGCGCGATGTCCTCGGGAGACCCGTGGAAGCCTTGTCCTCTAAGTGGGCGCCTCGGCCCCGCCCTTGACGACAGCCTCCAAGACATCCTCGACGTCGCGGGCCCACCCAGGCCCAGAGCGTTAGCCCGCGCTGAAAACGCTGACGCACACCGATGCCTCCACCTCTCCGTCTGTCTTCCAACATCGGCCACACGAGGCCCCACCAATTGACGAGTGCATGCGAAGACGCAGATCGGAAAAGCATATGACCGAGACCCGCGCGCCACGGAATGCGCAGGCACGAGGCCCAGGGAGGCCGCGCACTAGCGACGCACCGAAGCTCGAACATCACCGAGCTCCACCGGGGTCGCACACCAGGATCTTTCTGAGACTTAAAGCGTACGCGGAGGACAAAATAAAAAGAGTTTCTCTCTTACGAAACGTCGCCCACGCGATGTGGCCCAGCAGTGCTCCGAGCATGCGAGGCGACGCAGCCCCTCGCCGCAGCACCGCC